CACCGAAACTGTTGATGCACATTGCCCCGACTGAGGTCCGCAGGCACTTCTGAAGAAGGGGATCAGAAGGAGGCGGAGGCGAAGGGGGAGAAAGATGAGAAGGAAAAGGAGAGGAGGAGAAGGGAGACAGCGAGGAGGCAGTGGAGGAGGAGCCGGACGAAGAGGAGGGAGAGGAGGAGAGGCAGAGGAAGCGAGGAGGAGGAGGAGGAGGAGGATGGAGGAAGGGGGAGGGGGATTGGGAGAGGGGACGGGGGAGCACGAGGATGATGAGCAATAGGGACGGGAGGTGCCCTCTACTACCTCAGACTGCAATTCAGATAAGTGGTATCCGAGACCCCCCTCCAAAATAAGGTCTTCAGATCCCCTCCTCCTCCTCCACTATTCAACTCCTCCTCTTCTTCATCCTCCTTCCCTTCGTCGTCATGGTTTTCTTTCTAATCGACCGCATCATCATCATCATCATCATCATCATCATCATCATCATCATCATCATCAGCATCATCATCATCATCATCACCATCATCATCATCATCATCATCATCATCATCATCGTCATCATAATCATCATCATCATCATCACCATTATCGTCATCCTCATCATCATCACGATCCTCGTCAGGATCCTCATCAAGATGATCATCATCCTCATCCTCATCCTCATCCTCCTGATCCACATCCTCCTCATCCTCATCCTCCTTTTCTTCCTCCTCCTTCTCCTCCTCCTCCTCATCATCGTCACCATCATCATCATAGTCATCATCATCAACATCATCATCATGATCATCATCATCATCATCCGCACCACCACCCTCAGCACCACCACCACAACCACCACCATTATTATCATCATCATCATCATCATCATCATCATCATCATCATCATCATCATCATCATCATCATCATCATCGTCAGCATCGTCATCATCATCATCATCACCATCACCATCATCCACGTGACCGTCGTGATCATCATCTGCATCTTCACCATCAGCATCCTCCTCATGATCCTGGTCCTCCTCCCCCTTCTCCTGCTTCATCATCCACCTGTCCCATCATGTCTCCTACTCCCCCTCCTTCCCTCTTCCTCCTCATCCTTTTTCTCATCCTTCCTCCCTCATCTCCGCTCCCTCCTCCCGCGTTCCCCCCTCCCTCGCCCCGTCTCCCTCGCCTCCTCCTCCTCATCATAGCGACAGCGAGAGCCCCCCCCCAGCAGCAGCAGCAGCAGCAGCAGCAGCAGCAGGAGGAGCAGGAAAGGGAGCTGGAGCAGAATCAGCACGATCCCTGAGCACTCGGAGGGCGGGGCGATCTCGGGGGTCTGTTGGGCCGTGCTGGGCGGTCGGGAACCCGAAAAGGCGAAGACTCCCAAATCCTTGAAAGACGTAGAAAAAAAAGCGATTGAATTGAAGCTCAGAGGTCCCTCTTGGAGCTGTAGTGGACCATGGCGGGGCTCTCTGGTGGCGTCTTGGAATTGTCTTCGGGCCATATTTGGGCTGGCCACCCATTGATCCATATTCTTGGGCACCCTCGGCGCTCCCTTGTGGTCTGTTGGGGCGCTTCCAGGGCGCTCTTGGGGGTCCTGAAGTGCTGCCAGGAGTTCCAGCATTCGTGACCCCCACTTTGCCGGGACCTTGCCAGGCAGGGTATTTTTCGTCGGAGTCCCCCAGGGGCCGCCGGGCGCACGCAAACTAGAACTGTTTTGAAATTCGTACAATAGATTTGAACAGACCTTAGGCCCTTTGGGCCGGCGAAGTACGACCACCGTAATTTGGTTTAGCTTCTGCTTCTGCTTCGGTTCAAATCATAACCTGCCTGTCTTACCATTGACCATGGGGGGTGAGTGCACATTCGCAGGCACTGTCTACACTATTGACAAGAAAATGAAATTTCGGTTGGACTCGCTTGCGTTTGGTAGCGGATAGCTTCACATAAGAGGAAGTATAGCGCGTCTCTCCACACTGGGCTGGAGCCCCCTCACTTTACGAGTTACCCTTTTCCGAAAGTGAGGGCGCCTGGCCTTGAAAAATTTGGGAGTGGGCGTGAAAAGGGGGGGGGAGGGGTCCGGCGCCCCCCCCTGCATAGACATTTGCGCAGTCTGCGAGGGGGATCGTCGGCTGCTCAGAAGGGCCCCTGCGCCTCTTACAAACCAATGTCAACCTTGCTCGGGCCCGCGCCAGATGCCTCAAAAACACTTCAAAAACCAATATCAAAGTTTTAAAATTGGTAAAGACACCTTGCTTGTGCCATCCCAAAGCAGGCGGGACAAGGGCACCGCCGGAGGGACCCCCCTCGGCGCAGGGGACGAAGCAGCACTTGGTTCTCGGGGTTTCGGCTTCTGCGAAGTTTGGCGCCACTCGTTGCAATTCGTGTGAGGACATCCAAGCTAGGCGTCTTGGAAAGATGTCCCTGCTGCATATTTCCAGATCCCTTTCTAGGTTCGGGGGTCGATCATGATATTAAGGATCCTGCCCGTGGGCGCCGACACAGCGCAATTAACGAGGGATCGTGGCCCTGGTGGCGCGGACGCAGCGTAATGTACAAGAGATCGTGGCCCTGCGAGCGCGAACCAGCGTACTTTACGAGGGATCGTGGCCCTCGCAGCGCGAAACCAGTGTAATTTACGAAGGGCTGTGCCCCTGGAGCGCGAACCCTGCACAATTTCCAAAAAGATCGTTGCCCTGGGAGCGCGGACGCAACGTAATGTTTGAGGGATCGCGGCCTTGAGAGCGTGACTCCCGCGTAATTTACGAGGGATCGCGGCCCTGGGAGCGCGGACGCCGCGTGACTCACGATGGATCGCTGTCTTGGGAGCGCGGACGCAGCGTTCCCTGGCACGTCCGCTGGCACGTTCTGTGGTGCGTCCCCCTGGCACGTTCCGTGGCGCGTTCTGTGGCGCATCCCCCCTCGCACATCGCGCGGCGCGTTGGCACGTCCCCTGGTACGTCCACTGGCACGTTCAGTGGCGCGTCCCCTGGCACGCCACTGGCACAACGTCATCACCATTGATATCTTCAGCATTGCCACTGCCCGTTGCCCCATTGAGAGGCTCGGAAACGCCTCCATTCCTCGCAGTCTCAAATCCATTTCCGGGTTCATGTTTCACCCCGGATCAGTTCTTGACAATCCCGGGGACCGAAAACGACCCCTGGAAACCGAAAAAAAAACAATAACCTCCTCAAACCCAGAATTTCGAGCCCCGCCCCCCCGTCCTGCTGGCCGGAACCAGTGCTGGACAATCTCAGACCCTCGGCTGGCTCCGATGTCCTGCCACCCCGCTCCGTCCCAGCGCTCTGGTGCCCCCGATGCCCCGGGTGCCTAACTCGCGGCGCCCGCGTCCCGGCGGCGCACCCCCACACGCCGCCCGGGTGCGGGCGCCAGAGGCTCTCGCTACAGCCCCGGCGGCTGCAACTGGGGCGGGCAGCCCAGTGGGGGGCGCAGAGGAACCCAAAACAGGCTGACCCCCGGGAAGATGCAGTCGACGCCACGAGCAAAAGCGCGGTGTATACCGACAGCCAGACATTCGCCAGCATTTCACTCAACATCAGCGTTCATGTGGCGGGTTCCGGAAACCCAAAACCCCAAAATAGACTGCCATCTCTTGGAAGGTCGGCGTTGGCGTCCGCCGACTTCCGCCGGCGGAGGCGGCCTCGCTCCACTTCCGCCGCCTCCCGCCGAGGAGGAGACGACAGCTCCTTCTGCCCTCGAAGGCGAGGCCCTTTCTGGAGCATGCCATCCATGCCTGTGCTCCTCTTGCTCTCCCGCACTGCATCCAGGGGCTCGCACCACCCAGGGGGCTCCGATCGCCCACGGCTTCGGCAAGGACCCCCCCCAGCGCGTAGCTGTGCGTGCCTGGTGCCCGCCTCCTGGGCTGGCCCCCGCCCCATCGCTGCAGCCGCCGGTGCGGGTGCTGCTGCGCAGCGCGGCAGCCCGTTGGGCGCGAACCAGTGTGGCGGGGGGCGACGAAGTGGGGGAGCAGCGGGGGCTGCAGGAGAAGGGGCCCTTCAGGCCCTGAAGGGCCCCTGAAGTTCAGGGGCCCTTGGCCCCAGGGGGGGGCCTTTAGAGCCCGCGAGGGGCACCTCTCTTCCCCCCCACGTCTATCGCCCCCCCCCCTGTCAGTAGTACGCGCCCAGGGCCCGCACCCACGAATTCCCGCCAGGCGCCTGGATGTCATGCGCCCCTGGCCCTGGAGGCGCGGGAGGCACCGTGGCAACGACCTCCAGCGGCATCAGCCGAGGACATCTGCCCGAATTGTCGCCCGCGCCCTCCGCCGAGGCACCCGCGGGCCGCCCGCCCTGACCCTGGCGGGTCGGCCCCAGCCGCGCGCGCCGCCGCACCCCCACAGGCGGCGCGCGCAGGGGCCGAGCGGCCAGGCCGCCCGCGGCGGGCTCCTCCCCCTGGGGAGGCGCGATTGCGGCCACCCCCCCGGGCCTCTCCAGGGGTGCGCTCTGACCAGGCCCTCGAGGTGCACGGCCGCGGCGGCGAGGAGGGGATGGCGGCCGCGACGTGCCGCGGCCGCGCATCTCCAGGACTCTCCAGGGGTGCGCGGCCGCGACGGCGAGGAGGGGATGGCGGCATCGGCATAATTACGCCGCCCTCCTCGGAGCCTCTGCTCCTGCGGCCGCGGCGTGCCTATACGCCTCGCGACCGCGCAGCCACCCTGGGCAGAGCCGCAGGCGCCGCGGCCCGGCAGGCCGCCCGCTCGGCCGCGCCGCGCAGCCGCTCGTGCTCGGCCCTCGGCACTGCAGCCTGCCCGCCGCCGAGCTCCTCGCTGCGCGCCGCCTCGTCGAGGAGGCGGCCGGCGAAGGCCACCTGCGCGACGAGCGCGAGCCCCACCGCCCTGCCCGCCACGGCCGCGCGGAGCCTGCGGCAGCCCGCGGCCACCAGCGCGCTCGCCGGCGCGCGGCGGGCGGGGGCGGAGGCCCGCCTCTGAGACGAAGCCAGGGCGGATGACATCGGGCGAGGATAAGTCGAGACTCTCCGAGACGCGGCGGCTCTGGAGGATATGTTTCGGGCGCCGCGGTCCTCTCGAAGCGCTCCGGAACTCTCGGAGAGTGTTCCACTAACGCTCTGGATCGGATTCCTCCTCGTCCTGGCCCCGTCTGGACCGCCTCTGCATCTCCTCCAGCACGCGGCGCTTGGCGCCGGACTGGGACGCCACTCGCAGGCCTCCGGGGTTTTGCTCCGGCTGCGTGTCGGGGAGCAACAGCAACCGCGGGTGCAGGCAACCCGCCATCAATACCGCGTCCAGGTCCGAGAGCATCCGCGCCGCGGCCGCCGCGGCCGCGGCATCGATCGCCTCCTCGACCAGCGATGCTACTGGGCGCGAGCACAGCGCCGCCTGGCACTGGGAGTGGAGCTGGTTGGGCAGGCGTTCATCTGGAGCCTGCATGCGCTCCAGCGCCAGCGCCGCCTGGCGCCGCAGCCACCACTGCACCCGCGCGGCTACGTAGCGCACGCGTGACTGCAGGGGCGGTAGCACGACGCTCATCATCAACTTCTGGGCCACTGTGTCTTCGAGGTGAGGGTTGCCGCAAAAAGACCCGTTCCTCGCCTGGGGAGGGGGAGGGAAGCGGAAAGACACAGATGTCGTCACTCCCCGGACCTCTCCCAGGGAGGAGAATCTGGCCGCGGGCTCTCTAGAAAGAGCAGCGGCATCGGTACCTCTTTTTCCTTCGACCCTGAGATCCGACGTTACGACAAAATGCAACATCACGAAAAACGCGACCAGGACCCTAGACCCCATCTCTATTTGCGGCACTGTTCGAGTCGGATCGATATGTGATGCCCCCAAGGCCCGACACTGGGTGACAAAATCGCCCGGTGCGAAACTAGAATCAATTCCTTGCGATTGTCCGCGATCAAGCCCGTGACCAGCCCTGCCCCCCCTTCTTACTGCGTGGGTTTTCCCGGAAAGGGCGCGGGCCCAGTGCTCTTTTAGGATGGTAATCTGTCCCCGGTGCCAAGTTCGAAGAGCGCGGGCGGAACTATTTACGATAAGTGACAAAGTCGAAGAGGGCCAGCGGAATTGAATGCTGAGAATGTTCCAAGCGAAGCGATGATGTTTGAAATTCCGATCGATAGATCGCATGGCGCAGTGAACATTATATTTTGTTGCGGATGTTTCGAGCGAAACGCTTGTGTTGCAAAATAGATTGAGGATGTCTCGAGAGAAACGCGTTGTTTGTCCTATACGTTGCTCCTCCCCTCGCAGAACTCAGAGGATGTCTCAGGCGAAATGCTTGTTTTCACGTGCCGAGGTCGCGCAAACGGGGGGGTCTAACATGGTCGTCCCTAGATGTAACCGCGTAGTTTCACGTGCCTGGGCCGCCCAGTGGGGTATCAACATGGTGGTCCCGAGCTGGAACCAAGAGTTTTCACGTGTCCAAGCCACCCAGAAGGGTATCTAATATGGTTATCCCGAGCTGGAACCATGTGTGTTTACGTGCGGGCCACCCAGGGGGGGCATCTAACATGTGGCCGTCTGGGTGCACACAAGAGCCAAGCGAAATCAATACATCGACACCAAATGTGTACTGATCAGACACAGCTCCTCAGGCTGATGATTTTGCAGATCTCCCATTGGGGTACCTAGCATGATAATCCCGAACTGGAACCGCATGTTTGCACGTATTCAAGCCAACCTGGGGGGATCTAACACAGTGATCCCGTGCTGGAGCCGCGGTCGCGTTCGCCGCCGTCCGCCGTCATTATCGCCGTCGGCGTGTCGGGCCGCCCCTCATCGATGCATCTCGCCTCGTTTTGGACTCGCCCTTATAAGTCCGCCATGTTGCGGGACATGTTTTTCAAGTGGTCTCGACTCCAATCAGCTTTGCGCGAGCAATACGCCCAGGCAGCTCGAGCATGAGGCCCAGCTCAGTCATGTCAGGATTCGAATGCCATGTAATATTTTATCCACGACGCAACAAAGCACATAACTGTTCATATTCGCCACATTTCGGTTCGCCACGCTTCCGAACTGAATTGGGCCTTGAACCCGAGCTGGTCGTGCACCCCGCTCGTTTTGATTGTGGCCAAATCAAAGATCCAGATCATATCGAGTGGGATTCTGACGCCACAGACGACCCCATCCACAACGCAATAGAGCAGAGCACTTCAACGCGGCACGGCGCGTCTCAATCCATCACAGCACAGCGCAACGCAGCCCCTGGCACTGTGCATAACCATCGCTGCCTTGAGCATTGCAACTGCACGTCGCCCAAACTTGGTGTCTCGACAATTCCCATGCTTCAAACATCTATATCCCATGTCATGTCGCGTCGCCTGACGCTTCCCTGGCACGTTCCGCAACGGTTCCCGAGGCGCGCTCCCCTGGCGCGCCGCGCGGCGCGCCCCCTGGCCCGCCCCCTGGCGCAACTGGCACGGTCCGCGGCGCGCCCCTCTGGCACGCCCCGCGGCGCGCCCCCTGGCGCGCCAGCTGGCGCGTCGGAACTGACGCGGGCCTCGAGCTCCAGCTGATGGAACGTCGCGCAGGGTTCGGCTGCAACCAGTTCTGGGTCAGCCATGGGCTCAGGCAGCTCGAGACGAGAAACGAGACGAGCACGCTGTTCGGCCGGCGGCCGACCCGCGAGGGGCGCTGCCGACAAACTCGATGGCAAAGTTCAGCCAGCCAGAAAAATTACACCCAAAATCTTGGAGTCCCTATATCGCCTTCCCGTCGACATCACGGTCGCCTAGGGGATCTCGAGAAATTTGCCGCTTGCTCCAGTTCCCACTCGACAGCATTCTGAATCCATTTGTCAGCGCTCAATCGTTGCATTGCGCGCGCCCGCGGCCTCGTCCCCTTTTGTGAAGTCGTCCAGCGGTCAAATTGCAGTCCCTCCATTTGTGGCTTGGCCTCTCGCGTCGCTTGCTTCGCCCGGTCCACGCGCGACTCGGGCCCACCGTCGGCATTGCGAGGCGCTGCGATGCGCCGCCTTCGGTGCCCCAGGATCATGCGAAGCATGCGTCGTTGGCGTCTCCAAGATTCATGCCCCGCGGATGTCGCCATCGCCCACGTGGCCGACTCGCGCAGCGCTGTGGATTTGACGACTCCTTCACATAGTTCGAGGCAGTCACGCAGATAATACACATTAGATGTTCATTCTTCCCTAATGGTCATGACCTCCTTCCAGCCCATGGATATTCCGCCGTTCAACTCGGCCTCGTCACGCTTGTCGAAAATGAGGTTGCGCCCGAGATATCTGGCGCAGCCGGAGCGCGGGGCAATCTCGATCTGCGCCCCATTAACATCCATAAATCGCCCGGATACGATCCGAACTCTTCTTGTGGAATTGCAGAGAATCTTCGTTTTGTCGGGGTGGAGCTCCAGAGCCTTCAATCCAGCTGCGTCGACGAGGCCGCGCAGCGCGTTTCTCAACGTCGCATGGGATGGCGTTACTCATAGCACGTCATCGGCAAACCGAAGATTCGATAGTAGCGTGACCTGAGAGTTACCAAAGGACAAGCCGAAACCATTGCGCGATGGAGACGCCTTAAGTTTTCTGAATATATCTTCGAGGACGACGGTAAACAGCAATGAATTGAGAGGGCCCCCCCTGTTTCGCGCCACGTCGCTAATAGAAGGGCTTGCTTGTCTTGTCTGCGGGTGCGCGCGCCGTCTGGCCTCAGTGCAAGTGCGCCAGCAGATGGATATACCTGGGGTCCACCCCCTGCCTGCGTAGCGCCTGCCAAATCCACTGGCGTTCGACGCCATCGCGCGCCTTCTTAAAATCCTGCGCTGCGAGCTACGCCGGGACATTCCATTATCTCGTTTTCTCTTGTATTTGAGATGCCGCCCATGAGTGGCCCACTGTGCTGCAGCCTCGACGGGGGCCCGCCTGGTCCGGCGATTGTCCTCTGTCCAAAACAAGATCAAGCCTTTGGGCAATAACTCGAGCGAGCAGTCGGTACAATATTGGGATAACTGTGATTGGCCGGTAATTCTGAGGGAACTTCGGGTCGCCGGCTCGTGCGCCACCGACACGACAGACTCGATGCACTTCTCCGGCATCATGTTTGGATCTTCCAGAACAACATTGTGGAATACCAGCTGAGCGTGGATCATAACATCTCCTCGGTCTTTCACCATGTTTCCCATGGAGCTAGTCGTGTCTTTGCATCTGCCAGGCTTGATGCGCCGCGCTGCGTTCTTCATCTCGCCCTCGGTAAAAGAGCCCACCCCGGCGCAATCCAACGTGCAAGTCTCCTCGAAAAGAGTGTCGCGAGTCATGCAAGTCTTCGTGGAAGTCCGAGAACACATCAGCAATGGTCTCTGTTCGTCTGTCATTGCCCGCTCGCGTCTACCACTGAGGCAATTAGGCTGCGATTGCCTCTCTTCTTCGCCATGACATTTTTTTCAAGCGTTCGCTAGACTGGAAGATGCCTGACACGCGCGTTTTGCATTCCAACCAATCTCGATGATCCTGCTGACCCGCGACCGCGCGCTGGCATCTTCACGGAGATGTCACCGATAATGTTGAAGATCTTGCAGCTTTGCGCTCGTTGGTCTGCCTCTCTCTTGCCTCGTAGGCGCCGCAACCTCTGCCTCCGAAGCGGCGTGTGATAATTCATATTCCTGTTGATCGTTCCGGGCGTTCCCGGCGCAGCCGCGCACCTTGACAAACTGTTGCATTTCGTTTTGATACAGCGCTGTGACGACTAACTTCCACTTGATGCGCCAATGGTGCTTGTTGGTTGTCTATACCTCTTCTCTTCATTTTGCGTTTTGTATTGATTGACCTGCGCGTTGAACTTCGCGCGCGCAGTTTGGTCTGACCCAAGATGCATGCATGTCTGCGAATCTGCATTGGCGACTTGTCGCCGCGCCCGCCGGTCCACAAATATGTAATCAATGTGTTTAGGTATTCCTTTCTGGTCCTACGTGCGCAATGCGCTGTTCTGGCCTTTTGGAGAAGAGCGCGTTTGATACAGCCACCGTATCGCAAGAAGGCCATACGTTTAACCATGTCGGCACCCACGAAGAATCGCAATTTTATCCAGAGCGCGTCGGTCTTTAAATCTGCCAACCTCGCGTACAACTTCTGCAGCCAGGCGTCGGCGTGGCCAGCATGCGGAAAATATTGGCGAACGATCCGTGCTTTGAGCCCCGGACCACAACATCAACATCTGCAGCACGTTCGCAATCAGCGGATAAGTCTACTACAGATCATGCTCAACGCTTTTGAATCAGTATGGCGAACCCGAGGCTGCCCGCCATACCGCCGGATGCTGCGAGTATGTGTCCATATGAAATACATGCATACTCCTCGCCTTCCTCCCGCCACGTTTCGCTGATGATTGCGACGTCCCATTCCACCAACGATAGTTCGTGAAGTAGCACTTCAAGCCTGTCGTCATGGAACCCGCGGGCTTTTTTTATATAACTGCTTGTGTGATGCACCACTGTTTTGTTGATCCATCTTTAGCTCCTTGGTAAACTGCCCATTTGGACTGTGAGCTGCGGCGCAGGGAAAATCGCCGGAGAGCTGTTGATACTTTCCCCTACCACCACCCATACCTGCACTTACCTGTAGATCGTGATGGAGTGACTGTGATTCGCCGTGCCTGTCCTTGTACTGGTTCTCGCACCCTGATGCGATCTGAAAGTGAGACAGGCTACGTCTCTCGAAGCCCAGTTTTACCTTCCACTCTGAAATGCTCTTGCTAATCACATCTTCGATGGCATTCGCATTGTTGTCAAACTCTATGTTCCCGTCCGCTCCGATCCGAGCGACCTTGTTACCCTTTAGCTCCACGGTGCCCTTTTTCCACTTAGCGCAAATCTATTTTAATGGGTGCCCTGCGTCTTCGTGGATGTGGTTTTTCGTAAATCCCAATGCTTTGTCAGAGTATCTCTTTTCGATCGTGTCGTTGCTCTTGCACCGCATCCCCTCCCCATTGTCCCTAGTCGTTTCTTTTGGTTTTGGCCCTCCGTAGCAAAAAATGACGCCATAGTTTGTGAATTGCACCATTTCAATTTTCGATGGGTCAACGAATGTACCAATGCTGTCCCACCTACCCGCCGCTCCCATTTCGTCCACTACCTTCTTTACCTGTGTGATGAAATCTGCCTCGTCCTGCTCCTCCTTCAGACAGACCCTCCACGATCACCTGAAGCGCGCGGAGCCCATTATCTGCCGCCAGCTCCTGTCCCTCCTCCTTGCTGTTGTGGTTTAATGTGTTTCATTCCCTCCCCCACCATCTCCTCCATAATCCTCTTCATGTTGTCCTTCATCCCCTCCTCCTTCGACGTGCTCTGCATTACCTCCTCCATCATGCTCTCCATGTTTTCTGAATGACCACAGTTTTCTATGTGTATATTTCCCAGCTCCACCTCCACATCGATCAGCCTGTCCATGCCCATGGTGTGTTTCTTCATCTCCCCGATCTTGGTGTTCATCACGCTCATGTTGTCAATGGTTTGTTCGAGCTTCTGATTTTGTCCCCTCGCGAAGGTAGTGAACCATTCCAAAGGTAACTCTGGAGCATGCTGCAACAACTCTCTGGTTTTCTCGCTCTCGTCACTCGACATGCCCACATCCTGTAGTGCACGTGTGAGTTTCGATTTCTGTCTCTCGGGCGTTAAGCCGGATGTGCCTCCAGCCCGAGCCCCCTTCTTTTTGTCATTGTTTGCGCGATCTTCGTATGTCCACGAATCCGCACAGCACGCGAGTCTAGCTTGCGCCCAGACGGTTACTTCAGATCCAGATCAGTTCGCTCAGGAATCGGATGCCAAGGACGACTTGATCCACAACGCCATAGAGCACAACAACATTTATCGTGGCATGACACAACTAATTTCAGCACGGCGCAGAACAATACAAGCTTTGGCACGGTACATCGCGATCGATACCTTCAGCACTGCAATAGCCCTTCGCCTAGCCAGGTGTTTTGAAACGTTGCCATGCCTCGCAGTTCGCAATTCCTTTCCGGATTCGTGGGTCGAGCATGCTTCCAATTACTTCAGTAATCTGACGAATAAGTGCTGCTGTTGCTTGCCCATGCTCCCGTCACGATTCGCGCCAGCACCGTCCAGGAATCAGCTGTTCCTGAGCACTCCCAGGCGGCGCCGCCAACGCGAAGCGCGACGTGACCGGCCCCCATCCCCCCTCCCCCTCCCACCCCCCCTGGTCACGCCCGTTACAATCGGACCTAAGCCAGAAGAACATCCTTCAAGAACATGAGGCCCTCCGCCGGTCAAACTGAAGACCATCCGAGGGTGCCCTCCCCCACGATGCGCAAGAACACCCAACAAGCACGAAGAACATGAGGGCGCCTTCACCGAACCGACCTCGATCTTATACCTCGATCCGACTCCTATCGCCAGGGGAAAAGAGAAACGCTCTCTTGCCACACCCGCATCTCAGGGTCGGCTCCTCCTCCTCCAAGCGCCTGCGCCTTCGCCTGGGCCCGGCCGATGCAGGTCGCGGCCTTCGGGGGCGTCCAAGAGGGGGGCGCCCGTTCGCAAATGGTGGCCCGAGGCATACGCTTGGACGAGGGGGGGGGGGGCTGGGGAACGTAATGAGAGAAGAAGAAGACGATGACGACGACGAAGAAGAAAAAGAGAAGGCCATGAAATCCGGGGAGGTATCGTGGCCCTGGCCATGATATCCCCTCCAACAGTGAGGACGCGGCCGCAAGGAACCCTCGCAAGAAACCCAGCTCTGAAAAATCACAAGCGCAAGATGCACGTGGGGGGAACCTGAAGCACCATGAACACAGCAGCTCTTTACACGGCCGCTGGAAGTCAGCGCGCAGCGAGCGAATCGAAGAAACCTGGGGCACTTTGACGAGAAGCATTTGGTTTCCTGATGCGCGTCCCCACTGTACGGCAGGCTCGTGTCGTGACAACCTCGGCGTCGGTTTCTGACACCCCGTGGATCGATCGACCTTCAACTGTCGGCGGCTTTTCGATCGCCAGATCGCTTCACGCTGGCCGATTCTTGGCCACTGGCAGCGCTCAACCCTGAGCACCCGTGCCAGGGTCGCCGCCGCATCGACAGTGCACGAACCTACGTAGTCACCATTCCCCTCTTGTGCGAGGCGGGGATATCGAGTCGACCCGTATGGTAAGGACGCACGGTAAGGATGCAAGGGCCTTGGAAAGCCATGTCGACACTTCGCGAGCGGGGCGCGGCCAGCGAAAGCGGCCAAGGATGGACCGAAGGGAAGGATGCAAGGGTAACCTTGGAAAGTCGCTCATCATTGCTATGCGGGCTAACTGTACACATATCCACCGCCTGTGAAACTGAAGTCGCGGGCGGTGGATATGGACATATTTAGGCCCCAGGGGGCCCGAACATGTCCACGTCCGCCGCCAGTCGAGACCTCCGAAACTCGATCCTCCAGGCAGTGGTCGTGTGGAAATCCCCGCCTCGGATCTTGGACGCCCCCGCGGCCTGGCCGCCCGGCTGCGCGAGCAGCAGCGCGACCTCTTGGCTGCACGCAGATTGACCCCAGGCAAGAGTAACCTCTGGTGCGCGGCTGTGGAGGGTGGCCAAATAACCGGGGGCGCACTGGCCCGGGTCAATGTACACCCCCTGGGTCAGTCAGGCTTTGCAGGGTCCTGCAAGATCCTGCACGCAAGCCCGGGTCAATGCACCCCTGGCCCTGCAGGATCCTGCAGGATCCGGCGGCCGGCAAGTGCTGGCGGAGCCCCTGTGGGCCCGCAGCAACAGTCACTCTGACGAGGGGCCACTCTCACGCAGGTCGAGGCCTCGGCCTCGGCCAGCAGGCGGCGCCACGCCGCGCCCGCGCCGAGGGCCTCGCCGGCGCAGGGCGCCTCCGCGGCCCACTCCGCGAAGGCGGCGTAGCCCTCGCGGCCGCCGAAGCCCGCCCAGAGCTCCGCGGCGGCCTCGCAGAGGGCTTCTGTCGAGACCGACGAGCAGGCTTGGCCTTCGGGAGGGCCCCCCCCCTTCGCCGCGGCTGGACGCAGCTCGGAAAGCTGGCGCCTTGGGCCCCCGGGGGGGGATCTGGGAGCCGACTTTGAGCTGCCGTCGTCTCGACTCCTCCAAGACTTGTATATAGTATATAGCAGCCCCTGTCAGATTCCACCGGCCAGTTTGCCGTCGTCTTATATGATTTCTCGGGGCTCCTGTCGGCGGGATAAATGGCGCTGCGGCTGGCCGCTCGTGCTCCCGCTGCTGCCTGTGCTGCTGGGCCTCCACCCTTCCCCTCAGCCCGCCAAGCCATTTAGCCCGCTTGCAGGAGCCCCCGAACAAGCATATTCGACCTCGGGGGGCCCCCTCGTCGCCACGGCTGGACGAAGCTCGGAAAACTAGCGCCTCTGGACCCTGGGAGGGGTCTGGGTATGCGATCGTAGTTTTTGTCCGTGCCCCTGCTCATGCCGAGACCCCACCATGGGGCCAGAGTGGGGGCGTGGATTCCTTTCCTTTCCTCCTCCTCATCCTCCATTCCTTCTCCTTCCAAACAACTATTCCCTGTCGCACCCCGAGGCCAGTCGCAAGGGCGGGCCGGGTGTTTCGACTGAAACTTCCCTAACACTTATGGTTCTGAAGCTTTGGAATCGGCAACAATTTCGCAAGTGGAATGCAAGTCTGCTCCAAAATGTTGCTCTCGCCTGAGCACCGCGCATGCTCGTCCTAAAGGTCTGCCAGGGCTTCACGGATTGATCGCGAACCGTTTCCACATTGTGGCTCTCGCCTAAGCGCCTCGCGCATTCGTCTTAAAACATTGCAAGGGTTGCACGGATTCAGGGCGGGCCGTTTTCAAGATGTTGCTCTCGCATTAGCGCTGCGCGCATGAATTTTCGCTTCCCCAAAAATGTGGAAGTTACACCAATTCAAAGCGGTTCCTTTTCAAACTGTGGTTCTCGCCTTAGTGCCGCGCACACTCGTTTTAAACATTTGCAAAAGTTTTGCGGGAATCCCATGGTCAACGTGCCAGAAACTGTGCTCTGGAATGACTCAGGGGTGCCAGGGCCCAGCAGTTGCGTTGATTCGCGGTGTTGACGTCCCAGGAACGGTGTTCTGGCACGATACAGGATCGCCAAGACGCAACAGTCCAGTTGATTCGTGGTGTTGAAGTCCCGATAATGGTACTCTAGTACGCCTCAGGATCTTCAAACGATTGTCTGCCAACGGGGCATTTCCCTCAGTGAAAATGAATCTTGTAGGTGGGGTGGAGCGGGAGTTTGGAGGGAAGGCGTTTTCCAACACCGTTAATGCGTCTCGGGTTTACACTGATCTTCCTCCTCCTCCTCCCCCCCTCCTCTTGCCTTCGCCCCCCTCCCTCCCTCCCTCCCTCCCTCCCTCCCCTCGTCGCCCTCCGCCCTCCCCACCTGTCTTCCCGTTCCCCCTGCCCTTGCTCGGCATGGAATCTTGCCCCGGGCACCGAGCTTTTCATCCATATCCATACACCCTCTCCTCCTGGCGCCCAGGGTGGGGGGCACCACTCGTCCCTATCCCCACTGGCGCGGCTGGGGCCCAGCTGGCCGATTCACCCCCCACTGTCTCCCCACTGGGGATATCGGCTGTTCCTTCTGGGCTTCGAGGGGCATTTTCCCAACTCGGGTGGTGGGATGGTAAGGATCGGGATGGGGATGGGGATGAGGATGGGGATCGGTTGAAAGATACTGAACAGCCTGGGTCCGGATCTAACGTGGATCGCCGACGGGGGGCCGATCCTGAGCTGCCGCTGTCTCAGCTCCCTGCTACACTCAAGAATGCTTCTTCGCAGGAGCTACCTTTGGTGCTGGCCCCAGGGTCGGGCCATTGTTCTTTCGGGAGCGGCCAAGAGGGGGGTGTCCAAGAGGAGGGGGTGCAAATCATGACCGGCGGCATGTGCGCGGCCCAGCGGGGGGGGGGCAGGGACGTAACGAAATGAGAAGAGGCGCCATGACATCTGGGGAGAGATAGCATGGCCCCCGCCCTGAGATCCCCCCCCCCTAGTCATCACCCCCCTCTCTTCCGCCCCCGATTCTTTGGGGCCGGGTCCGATCTCGCGTCGGGCGCCCGCAGCGCGGGGCTGCGTTCGCGTGTGAGTGAGGAGGAGGAGGAGGAGGAGGAGGAGGAGGAGGAGGAGGAGGAGGCAGCGCCAGGATTCCGTGCCAGGATTCGGAGCCGCCGCGATCCCCGCTCGCGCGGCGCCGGGCCTCCGCCAGGCCCGGGCCGGAGAGCGGGCCGCCGCGGCAGCCGCCCGAGGCCGCGGCGGCCTTGAACTGCTGGAGCTCGTCCTTCCGAGGAGGGAACGACAGCGGGGGGGGGGGGGGGGCTCAGACGAGGAAAAAGGCACCCCTACCTCTACCCTTCCCTCGTCTTCCCCTCTTTGAGCATCCTGGGCGGCCCTCGTCGCCACCGCTGGATTCGCCTCGAGATCCTGGTCGGAGCGCACCCCAGAAGAGGTCTGGGGAGCAGCCGTATTGGTACCTCTTGGCTTCCCCAGGTGCAAGAATTATGCTTGTAAACTCTTTGGCCGGTCCCGAAACCGATGCCTCCGCCTGTGAGGTGGCACGCACCCACCTGGCACGAGAGCCGACGCCCACGCACCACCTGGCCATGACACCACCCAAACGAGGCAGAAACACCGCGGGCGACGGGTGTTTTCGCATCTTCACGCCAGGGGGGTGCAAGAGGAGGAACGGGAGGAGGAGGGCGAGGAAGACGAGGATTAGATGCTCGTTGGGGGGCCTTCCTGGAGCCACTCGCTCCACTCGTGCGTCGATGCTCCCTCGGTGCTGCATCGAATGTGCGTCGCACTGGGTCGAAATAGAGTCGAAACATAATCGAATTATATGCGAACCACGGTCGAACGACAGATCCGTTTGGTGGCTCCAAAGAAAATCCACCGAATGACATACCGAGCATCTAACGACGAGGAGGAGGCAACCGTCAGAACCGCCACTGGCGCTTTTGTCAGCATCAAGGACCAGGACCCTCCTCCCTTTTGGCACTGTCATCCTGCAGGCGGGCGGGCGAAACAGCCCAGGAGGGGGCGACACAGACCTGGAACCGGTGAGACGCGTCGCTGGTGCATCCACGACAGGCCCCCAGCACTGAGCGAAACCGCGCGTCCCTGAGAGAGCCGACGAAAACGTCAGGACGACCGAGCGAGCGAGCGCGCAACCGTCGGATCCGGCGATCTGGCCCTGGGCAGGGCGGCGCGGCGGGGCCTCACCCCCAGAACCTCGGATCAAATAGTTCTCGACGTAATGCTGCCGCCTTCCGCCGTGGCGTCGTCGCCTTCTGCCTTTCGAGTGATGCGGTTCCGATGGAGACCATTGCAGTGCCCAAGTGTGTCCACGAGCTCCCTGGACGCTGTATTCGTTGCGACCACTCACATGCTGAATACTGATACGCGGCAACCTAATCGGGCACGCGCAGACGCTGTAAGTGTTGCTCTGCGTTGCGAGTCGCCCGTCGCACCCAATCAACCCAGGGTCCCAAAGAAACTTGAGTACTGCAAAGACTGCCGTCGCTCGGGGAATCGCTTGTCTTGCCTGTACCGCTGGAGACATTCTGGCTCCCGTCTGCGATAACCCTCCTCCGTGGCGTGTGGGACATCATTCGGAGCATGCGTCATTGAGTTCGTCGTGTGTTGTCCTCGAAAGGCTTGGTCAAACACCATGTCTCGAATCCATGCATCATCGTCGCAGGTACTGCGCTCTCGAAGGGTGGAAACGGGAATTGATAGAATACTGGCGAAGTGCCCCAAGAGGCCTCCAGGAGCTTTCCCACGAGAGCCCCAAGAGGCAACATGTTTGGATTTCCCATACGTTTTTGAAAGATTTTGGCGTTCTTGCCTCTTCCGCTTCCCGACGCGCCAAGACGACCCCGAAGGCCCCCAAGATCGCCCCGAGACGGCCCAAGAGGCCCCCGAGAGGGCCCCCATAACGGCCGAAGAGGGCCCCAAGGCGGCCCAAGACGCCTCCAACAGCCCAAGAAGCCCCCAAGACGGCTCCAGGAAAGTGCCCAGACGGGGGACCCGAACGGACACTTCGAGCTTTCAGCCCCAAGAGGCCCCCAAGAGGCCCCGAAAAAGCCCCTAAGAGGCCCCAAGAGGCTCCGAAGGGCCCCCCAAACTCCCCCAAGACAGCCCAACAGAGCCCCAAATTGCCCAGGAGGCCTCCAACAGTGCCTCGAGACGGCGCAAGAGGAGCCCTGGACGGCCCAAGACGGCCTCAAGAGAGCCCCAGGCTGTCCCAAGAAAGGCTTTGGCCTCCTCCTCTTCCTCCTCCTCCCCCCCCCTTTGCTCCCCTTCCTCCTGCTCTCCTCTGCCTCCTTATCCTCCTCCTGCTTCTCCTCCACATCCTTCTCCCCCCTCCTCCCTCATCCACCTCCTCCACCCTTTCTCCACCTCCCACTCATCCTCCTCCCCCTGCCCCCCCCCTCGTTTTCATTTTCGTCGTTCTCAGGGTCGGCAGCACCGGCCGTAAGGCCTTCGCAATACTGTTTGCCCGTGGGTTCTGCGCTGTGAACATGAAGCTTTTCCACGCAGTCGAATTTATGTGGTCGATCTCTGTCTCGCGCGCGCCGTGGAAAGAAATCTGTCGCCCTAGATACTTCCGTGCCCCTGGCAGCGGAACAATCTCGATGTTATTAATGTCGTCAACACTCGTAAAGGTTTCCTTTGGTCTCCCTGTGCGCAGCGTCGCGCTGCTCAGAAGAATCGTCGTGTCCAGGTGGCCCTCCAAGCACCTTGTTCGAGCAGCGGCGCGAACATCGTGTGGCGTGTTACCGATTTGGTGTAAAAAGCGCGCCGTCTAACGAAACATCATCAGCGAAACTTGAATGTGTGATCTAACGTGTCGTTCCAAGAAGAACCCCCGACGTTTGCGCCTCCACTTGGCCTGGCGGTGCGCATTGCGTCCTCCAGGAGTGCGTTGAACAATAGAGAACTAAGGGGGTCTCCTTGTTCTGTGCCGCGCTGGATGACAAATGATTTGCTCATTCTGTCGGCGCGCGCTCGTGCAATCTGCCTGGGATGCAGATTGTGTTAAAGCCGTTAATGTTAAACTGGAGCGCCTTGTCGCTGCAGTGCCACCCAACAACTGCTCAATTCGATCGAATCAAATGCCTTGCGAAAACCGAGCGCTGCTATCCACGCGGGCTGTTGGAACTGGTTGACTGTGGACAAATGGTGCGTCGTGCTGAAATTGTAATTGCTCTGGAAACCAGCATGACCTCCACATTGAGCAGCGTCGACCATTGGGCATAGTCGCGCGCGCAGCAGCTTAGCAAACAGCTTGTACAAGAGAGGGGTGCTGGCTATGGAGCGATAACTCCATGCATCGGCAACATCGCCTGACTTGAGAATGGCAAATGCAACAAAGTATTTCCGCGATTCTGGCGGTACCGCCTCCTGTGCGATGATCTGGTTGTACAAATCAAACAGTGCTTGCTCCAAGTACGGCTCCCCAGACTTGGCCATCTCGGCACTAACCTCGGCAGCGTCCTTGGCCCGACCGCTTTTGAGGATCTGGATCTGCGCTCGCAACTCGTTCAATGTGAAAGGTGGTATAGGCGACGCTAATGGAGAGGCCGCTGCGCTTGACGTCCCGCGCATCCGGGTTGAAGAATGGAGTGGCGAATGGAAATCTGCAAAGATGCCGGCGGTGCTCCGCCGCGAAGTGCTCTCAACCCCGTTCTGGTTTTGCATGCTGGGAATGCGCGTCTTCCTGCGGGTGCTCTTGACGCGCGGGGATGTCTCCCACGGAACCCTTCCAGAATGACACTGATCTTCGCGTCGGCCTTGGGGCGGCGGCGAGTGCTAAGTTTTTTCCCGGATCCGCTTGCCAGCTCAATCCGCCTGCTCGTCTTTGCTGGTCGCAACTTCCTACGTCTTCAATAAGAGCTTGAAGGTGATCGTCATCCAACGTTTTCTTTTCAATGGCACTTTCGCGCCGAACCTTCAAAGCAACATCCCGGAAAACACACTCTACGTACTCCAGCTTTTCGTTCGCGTCGTCCGGGATGGTGCCGTCAAACAGTGTCGCCGGGACATTTGCTTGGAAGGCACGGCGGTCCACTTGAGCCCAATCTAAATTTGTATTGGCCATCCCTTCCGTCTACGTGCTTGTACACTCCGTATCTTCATTTTGCAGCGAGTCGCCGAATGGTCAGAGCCCACATCAATGCTGCTCGTGGCGCAGCAATCGAGGAAATCAGGTCGCATGCCCACGTCGCGCAACATGCAACCTAGTTATCGCAACCGTTCGCCTGTCCCATAGAAGGCGTATCTTTGTTCAGGCCGCCTATCGAAAACAAAAAAAACGCTCGTAATCGCCAGTCGGTTCTGCCCAAGCCATGGTGCCATTTACTGCCCCCTGCTGTTCTGGGCGCCGTAGCCGTGCATTCCTAAAACCTGTCTGTCGTGTTCTTCTGTGTAGCTGCCGACTTCGGCATTGAAGCCCGCCGCAACAATAAAATGCATGCGTCGTTGTGTGGCCTCCTCCCGAAGAGCGCCCAAAACAGAATGCAAATCATGGACATGAGAATATCCGTAACCACTGTGCGGAAAGTAAGCCGTCACCAAGCGAAAACGAATTTCACGACGTGCGATGTCCACGAATGCCGTCCTGTGAGGGATCCTCATGAAACCTTGCACGTACTTTGCCCAGCGCTTGTGTATGGTAACTGTCTCCCCTTTTGAAACCTGTTCCCACCCGCTCCCAGCAAAACTACATCAGCCCCGTAATTCGAAAAACTGATGTTCCTTTGTGCGCCAAGTTACGTTGAGATGAATAAAAAATCCGCTGAATTCCTCCAGCTTCGCGCAGTAGTTCGTCGACGCGGTCGTCAGTGGTGAAGTTCCTGACGTTCTTATGCCACGTCTGCAGAACATCTGCGTTATGCCCAAAATCATTGGCGATCGAGTCGCGTTCGGGCACACCTGGCGGCGCGGGAAGCTGTGCATCGATCGTTGCATCATGCGAAACTCGGCGACTTGGCCCTCGAAGTTCAAAGGGTGAAGGCAGTGGTGACACAATATCGAAATCTGCATGCTCTAGCGCTGGAGTCGGAATGGGCTGGGGTAGCGTTGGTGAGCGCAAAAGCTCAGACTCGGGCTCAGGAGCTGGAGCTTCAAGACCTCGCCGTTGGAACCGGCCATCTGCACGCCGAAGAGCATGGCAAGCAGACGTTGGTGAAACCTCGCTGGACACATCAATGTCCTGTTCCTCGAAGTTGGGGTCGAGCGGAATCCCAAAGCGGCGGGTCTCCTGAGACTCGATTGGGG